AGGTAAAGTGAGACCTGAGAGAGCTTGTAGTAGCACAGCTGGGAGTATAGCTGTAAAGGGTACTTGATATCTTGAATCTACCAGTTTCCCTCCTTCCCCTCGCCACATTTGCACACAACAGACAGGAGCCAGCCAGGAGATGCTTTTTTTGTCACAACTTAGGGCGATCCACTCAGCGTGGTTAGGGTTTGGTCTTCAGTTCACGCCTCTGCTGTGTTCCCAGCACGTTAACTCTTATTGCCTAATTACAGGGTATCAATTGCCATCAGTCTCTTGATAAAACTCTTCTGCAGTTTCTGAAACCTCAGTGTATTAGTGAGGTGCCCGGGGCAGCGGCAGCTCAGACCTCTGGAGCAATGATGTCAAACATCTCGTTTAAGAGCTGGACGGAGGTATTTAGTTAGGTTGCTTGACGTCTTCAGTTTCTGATTTAGTTAGTTCTCTTGATGCATTCAGTTTTTTGCAGAACCTAACTTTTTTTTTAAGTGTTTCTAAATTCTTATTGCTGCATAGGCAACTTTCAAAATTGGAACTGAATGCATTGAGCTATGCGAGTCGTCAGAAAACCTGAAACAATAGCTCAGAGGTGGGACTGACCTGACTCATCTCAGCAGGACATAAACTCTGAGGCCCAATTATGATGCTTTAGAAACTTGATTTTAAAATAATTGAGGTATGAAATGATGTGCCTGGCTTGCCCAGCTACCACAGTTCTGCATATAAATTGAATAACGGCATGTACAAATTGCAAAATGGCACACGACAAAAATAGCAGTGGTTCCAGAAGTGCCCTGTTGCATGTGTGTTTTTTTCCCCCTGCCGTGTGAACCTCCTTGCAGCTGGCTAACTCACTTTGAGTACCTCCACTTTGGATTGCTCAGAGCTGGCTGCAGGTGTTTGGCACCTTGGAAAATCAAAGCCAAGATGCTCTGTTCATGAAACAGTGGCCTCAGTTGCTATCTACTAGCTGTATTGCACATCTTTACAGACCTCTCTCCCTTCTTATTCCACTTTAGACCGGGCACAGCTGCGGGTTGGGAGTGTGTATATGTTTGTGTGCCCAGCGCAACCCGTAATTTCATTACTGTTTCATCTGCTCCTCTCTGCACAGCAGCCTTGGACTCCCAGCTCCTCAGTCAGCATTTGGATCTCTCGCTGGTGGTTATGCTAAAAGCTTTCATTCTTTGCGTTAGAAAACATTATCTCTGCAGTATTCCGATGCTTTGAGTGGAATATGCTGCAGATACCAAAGTCAGGTTGCTCTGAGATGTGGGGGATGCGGTAAACGTTGGCTATTCCTCTCTCAGGAGCTCTCTTATCTGCAGTGGGCCAACTGGCTTGAGCCTGAAAATGAGAAGTGGTTTGTTTGTTTGTTTTTTTTGGGTTTTTTTGTACCATTTCCTCCTAAATGCCCGGAATGCTGCCATGCCTCCAAAGCAGAGGCAGAAATCAGTGAATCTGTGCTCCAGATGGACAGATCATCTGATCCTGGTGTGTTATGGAGGAATGGGTGGTGGTGAGCAACAGTGGGGCAGTCTATATTCACTGGCTCTGAAAAGGTTTTTGGAAAGCAGCTGGCACCTCTAATACAAAAAAATGAGAAGTGAGACAGCCCAGTACCTGTTACAGGAACCAGACATGTTTTTCACAAAGAGCCTGGCGCTTGAAGGCAAATACAAGCTGAAGCCGTTGGTGATTGCTACTGTATGTGCTTGGGGCTCAAATGCCTTTTGTTAGTCTGTAATAAAATAAACCTTCTTGTATCTTGGCAGACTGACTCTGCCTGAATGATTACCTGTCTGGCACTTCATTATAAACACATTTTTTTTCATCTTGGTCCTTGTTTCATGCCACTTTTATAGCTTTTCAGGCACAATTTTTTTGTTTTATTCGCCTCTTACAATCTATTGACATACCCTGCTTTTAACCAGCAAGCAAAGAGCAAAGGCAGGCGGCTGCTTAATGTATCCAAGGTGGGAGTGAGAGCATTTCAAAACACTTGAAAAAGCATTTTAGCTTAATTTTTCTGTGTATTTTTCCCCCATTGCCAAATGTGCTGTTAAGTCTCAGATGGGAGCCAAACTTCTAAAGCTGAAGCCTAAATTCTTGGGTAGGTAGCTCTTTTCTGATCCTGAGGATTTTGCTTGCGGTCCAGCTCTGTTAAATATGATTGTTCTGTTCCTTAGCATTAATTAAAAGCCACTTAATAGTATTATCCCCTTCCCATTCTGGAACACTCTCCTGGAGGATTAGATGTCAGAGAAATTCTGGTGGTGCAGGAGAGAAGACATTTGTGTGCACATGTGTGTTTGTCCAGATGGCGTGCGTGTGGCAGGAGGAAGCGCTGTCTTGACCGAACTATTCCCTTTAGGGTTTGTCATGTCAGAGAAGTTGTCCCAGGGGTTGTGCTGACGGGAATAACAATAATTTAAAAGCAATAAAATGGCATGAAACAAAGACTGGAAAATGAAAAGAATTAAATTGTCTATAATGCAGCGCCAGATAAGCCATTTATTCTGGAGGAGTCAGTGAGCCACGGTAGGTTTGCTTTAGCGTCTCCTGTTAAAGGAGTTGGAGGCCCCGTGTAAATGGCCTGGCCAGCTGATGCCCCAGTGCAGTGGACACGCACATCAGGTTAAATTGTATTATATCCATATGATGGAGCATCAGTCACTGTGTGCAGGTTTGGGACTAACTGGCCTTGTGAATGACATAGGTGGTGACACACTAAAGAAACAATATGGCTTAGTGACTTAGACACAAGACAGGGAACCAGGAGGCCTGGGTTCCAATCCTGCTTTTGACAGTGATTTACTAAATGACTTTGGGCATGTTGCTTAATCTCTCTAAGCCTCCTACAGTTTCGGGAAATGTCTTTGTGAATGCAGAATACTAGGAAAGCGTATCAGTGACAGAGGTGGAACAGTAAATTCAGTGCTCCTTGGCTCCCAGTCCTATGCTTAATCCATTAGATCAGGTGGTTTTGTGGATTTGCTGTTGCCAAAATAAATGTTAGCATTTAATGTATTATCTGCATTAAACTAGTGGCTTTTACAGTGTAATTAGCTGTGCTTTTATAGTATTGAGCAACTCCGGCACACTTAGCAAGAATAGATCGTTTTGAGAGCCACTGTTCAGCACGGGGGGCATCCATGCATTATGATGTGTCAGGATGCTGAACGTATGCACACGCACCCTTCTTGCAGTTATTACAATACACTGACCAAATCTTGCCAAAAATGTTAGTTAAAAAAAAATGTTTTGTACAATGTGTTTATGCGTGTATTGACCATGAAATTGGTCTGCCCTTTATTTTCTGTATTCTGCACACTTGCTTTTCTAAAAGCTGCTTTTGAACACAGGATTTTTGTCAGTCACTGCCGCCTGTTAGAGGAGACTTGCATTGTGTTTTCTTTTGGAGACTTTACATTTGTTCTTTCTTGTTGTTTTCTTTAACATCCTTTCAATCTGAATGCTTTGATATTTTTCTCTCCTTTTGCATAGGAAGATAAATTTTCTTATGTTTCCTGTATTTTGTTTAAATGTAGGGGGGGGAGAGGAAAAAATCTTGTTTTTCTAATATCAGGACATCTTGTTCTAACTTTCTACATATGCCTAATAAATATTGCAAACTAGTTTCCAACTGATTTTAAAATGAGAAACCGGAGTACATATTACAGATGGGTGTTTTATCTCTTTTGGCATAAGTACAATGTATTTCTTCTGTAAGCATGTTGTAGGCTGATGAATGAGGGTTACATATTTTTCCCTCTACTACTTGGTGAGAAATGTTTTGACATTTATTTATTTATATGTATATGTCTATATGTGCAGCTACATATAAAAATGAGTTAAAATAATATTATTTAGTTAGCACAGTCAAACAGCCAGGAACTCCAGATTTATGTTCCCTTGTGTAACCTTATTTCTGCCTCCTTAGGAGGATGGAGTGATTTTAATTTTCAAATTATATTTGGGAGCAGGTGTTTTATGTACCAAGGAACTGTTTTTAGAAAAACCAACAAAGGAAACCCAGTGTTATTCTAGTGACAGGATTACCCCCTGTGATGCTGCTGAGGTTGGTGTTAGCTTGGATGAGACTAGTTATAATCTGCCTATGGGACTAGACAGATTCACCCAGCTGGCTACCGGAGAGCACCTCGCAGTCACGATGTAGTGTTCTCAGCTTTCCCTTCCTCCCCATTCATCTCTCTATTTTTTTGAATTGCTGCACTGCTACCACTCCCAGCTTGCATTGTCCTCTTGGAGACTCTCTCTTAGGTCTCCATGTTAATGAATCCTATTTTCTTGTCAAGTTGCGCAGAAGCTGTGTATTGCGGGTAGGGGCTGGGGAGGGGGAGTTCAGATCTGTCTTGAAATCTGGTCTTGTGCTGTGATCTTGTGCTGCGGATGTATAAAATGAGTTCTGCCGTTGATTTCAATGAGGATTTTGCCTGGGCGCTTCAGAGGAGGAAGAAGCACAGGCCATGTTAAGACAGTTGTTAAGAATAACAGTGGGAAGTAAAGCACGTTTTTACAGATGCCCTTTGTTGGGCTCTAATTTAAATTCTCCATCCTGGTGTTACTAAGGGTGAGGAAGTCTCTTGAGTTAGCCTTTTGTTCGATGCAGGTCAGAGGTGAAAGGATAAGAAGATCTGACCTGTTTCAGTGTCTGCATCTCTACATTGCTGAGATTGGAGGGGTATATTATTGTCCCGCCTGCAGCAGAAGCTTTGCTTTTTAATTTTCAGCTTTTGTCTCATCTCAGCCGTGGAAATACTGTTATGTGCAGAAATCTGATATGATAAGATGACAGAGGTTACTAGACTTACAGCATTGGCAGTGCCCCCGGAAGCAAATCAAAATTCTTCTCAAAGATTATGTGCAGCTTGATGCCCATTTCATAGTAAAACTGATGGACTTTGCATTTCTTCTCATGTAATGGTCTCTAGTAAAATAAATACATGTAGTAAATGTGTGTTTCTCTCTCTCTATTTCAGGAGTCCTCGATGTATTCACTTACTGTTATTTAAGGAGCCTCTACTAGGTGTTTCTGGGTTACTTTTCTGAACAAACAGAAAGACGCGGTATTCAAGATGCTTATAAAAGAATATCGTATTCCTCTTCCTATGAGTGTGGAAGAATATCGGATTGCCCAGCTGTACATGATACAGGTTAGTAATGATTCAGTTAAACATGGGTGGGTGTAGACTAATTCATGAAAGTGGAATTTTGGGCTCTGTGGAAAGGAGATGTCTTGATGAAGAACATCATAACTTTAAAGCTGGGGTGACCTCCTCATTTTAGGGAAAAAAAAGTAAAATAAAATTTTGAATTCAAACTTATTAGACCATTTTCTTACAGATTAACAGCTGGAGGCTCTTAGACTGGCAAAATTGCCTTTTTTCCTATTATGAACTTGGGAAGTGTTATTCCTTTGGGTGGTTGTTTCCTGTAGAGGGAAACACTGGGCCTTAACCTTTGAAAAAATGGGATAACTTCTGGAGCTACAAAAATCACTCAGTGTGTGACTTTTTAAACCAGTCATGTGCACCCTCTCCTGCTCCATGGGCCCGATCCTGTGCATGGGATTGGTTTGCAGGCCAGATCCAGTGCAGTCTGACATGTCAGTGTGATCGCATGTGCTGGATCCAGCTGCAGAGGGATGGTATGCCGATGTGATCTGGCATGGGGGGCCATGTCAACCAGATCATGGGGCTTCTCACTGGTCCAGAAATTTAGTGGCAGGAGAGTAATGGCAGTATTAATTGCTGTGGCTGTGAGAATAATTAACAGTGCCACCACTCTCCTGCCACCAGATTTTTGGACCTGTGGGGAGCACCACAGTCCGGATGGAACGGTTTTGCGAGCTGGTGATTGAACACCACTGTTCCACAAAGTTATGAAAACACATTTACAGTCAATTTGGTAAATTTCGTGACTAAACAAAGGTGAAAACATCTGCTTAATGTTTGTGTGTAAGCAAAGAAATAGTATGTTTGGTTAAAGTGATCTCAGTGAAAAGATTGTTTTTGTAACTTCAGTCTTCCATGCCGATTCCTTGCCAGTTTTGGAAATCCAAATTCCAATTCGAAGAGCAAAATCCTAAAAGTGACATTCAGTATAAACATAGTAAAATTAACCAGTCTAATTTCATTGTCCTACACACTGAAGGAAATGCAGAAAGGTCTTGGGGGACAGCATAATATGTGCTGGACATTGGGCACACAGTGGAATTCCATTGGCGTCAGTGGAATTATTGATTACAGTGAGGTATGTGTCTGAGAGTTTTGCAGATTTGGATCTAAAATGACCAGCATGTCAGGTAAAAGTAAATAAATAAAAGTAAGAATCATGAGACATTATTTTTATTATATTGTGACTTTTTTTTGACAGCGTCCCTTTTAAAATATTCATGCATTCTTACACCTGATTACCAAAGCTGTGCACAGGAATTTAATTGGCATACAAATTGATGTCATTTAAAAAAGCCCAAACCTTTGTTGTTAGAATAAGGTAATAAAAAAAAAAATTCTACCAAAGCTTAATTTCTGGGGTGTTTCTGTTGAATCTAAAATGACTTTGCAAAAATGTCAATGATTTTTAGCATAATTTTTCCCTACATGGATTGCATGTTTTTAAATAAAATAACCAACAACCCTGCTGAGCGGGGAAACATATTAGTTATGCAAAATTACCAGCAGGATCCTGTAGCTAGAGCCTGTCAAAGAACAGTCTCATTAGTGGGAGAGTTTCCACCTGCTCTTAGATGGAGGAAGAGCAGTGGTTATCAGTAAGTTTGCTGCCAGATGTTCATGCTGGTGACTGGGGGGGATTAAATGGACAGTGGAAGTCTGCTGGTGTTACTTCAGGAGGCACAAATGCAGCTTTTATCAGATTGGTAACAGGCATGTGATTCATTGACCATAACCATTTGTCAAGTGGTGCTTAATGTCTAAGGACTAGGCTGTGCCTGCATGGCATACCTTGAGCAAGAGGTGCCAGTTGCATCAACCCAGGAGAATACTGATGTGGCAGACACTTCTCTCCCTTCTGAGTCGCAGCCCATCCCCAGCTTTACACTTATCAAAATTTGCTGCCATGTTGCACCTTCAGCAAACTGTACTAGTTCAAGACTGCTATTGACTGTTGTGTTGGAAGATGCCTTCAGCTGAGTCTTTGACCCGTTCCTGTCTACCCGCTCCAGCAGGGAAGCAAGGGGGCATTTGGTTCCTGTGTACCTCTGTGCCCAAGGTCCAGGTAGCTCTCTCACTTCTACCCCGTAGAGGGTCCTTATTTCCACATGCTGTGGTGTGTGCATGAGTAGTCCAGGGCACCGTCTAACACAAGGAACATCGAGCGCTTTTAGTTAAACACCGCTTTGGCTCAAAGGGTTGAGACACGCTTGGGATAAAATTATAAGGTTATATTCTGGTTTTTTTTATACTGTTCTCCAAGTGTCCGTTCCATCTCCGCTTTGAAGGTACCAGTTGTGTTAACTGTCCCTTCCTCGTTCTGATGTTAAAGAACAGGCTTTATCTTTTGAGAGAGAAATCAGGGCATGCTAACTCAGAAGAAGCAAAGAAGAACACTGCTTTTTGAGCTCCTTTTTTTGAGCCTGAGAAATCACTTCAATTTTTTTCTTCTTTTGGACTTTGTTGAACCCAGAGGAGAAATGAGTTATAACATCTCGTTGGTGAGCATATTCCAGAGGGAGCAGGAGACTGAGGTTTCTGTGTATAATAGCAATGTTAAATCCATTTTTCAGCAAAAATGATTTAGAGAAAGACTTTCTCATATTCCAGCAGGATATTGAGCAGCAGTCAGTGAGAAGGAGCTATTCTTCCCTTTATTAAAATGTAAGTAAAACGCTTTATGTAAAAGGCCCTGTTTTTAAATTGATCTATTTTGTAGCATACAGGTTAAATGCTGCACTAGTGTCTTAAGAGTGTGAATAGCTCTCCTGTACTGCAAAAAAAGAAATATGTTGCTTGTAAGAGATTTTGCTCATGAAGAGTGCATTACTTTTTAGGACATCCTTGGCACCGGGTCAGCAAAGTCCTGTTGGTTTTAATGAAACTTAAACATGTGATTAAAAACCAAGCCCATGAACATTAGTTGGACAGAGCTTAGATTAATCCTGAGTTTGAAGTTAAGCAATTACTAAATGGTCCCTTAAAATCCTGCAAATCCTTGCTCACAGGCATATAGCCCACTGAAGAAATAGGTAGACTTTTCAAATGTACCTAAATCCCATGAGACTTAAGCTCCCAGGTTACTTAAATGGTTTAGAAACTTGTGTCTCTGGAGACCAGTTAAAGCAATTGTGTGAGCAGAGGCATGTGAGTGAAGGATTGCAGGATCAGCTCCAAACACTGGTACTTCTGTTTTTATAGAGGAATGTTGTTCCTTGTTCTTCTTCCTTCTCCCTGTAACGATCAACCTTTGCATGGCACCAAAGCTGCTTTTGCTTATGTTGGAATTCATGACAAAAATTTCCCTTTTGGTTTAATGTGGGCAGGCTCAAACCCTAACAAAAAGCAAAAAGCTCTTATGACTGCAATTTTTCTCAGAACAGTGCATGGTAAATATACACTGAGCAGGAGCAATGAAAAAATACAGGAGGAGACCTTGGTGTTAGTTCCTAGCTCACCTTGCATCTCCGGGTGTACAAGGCAATGATAAATCATCCCACATCTCCCTGTGCTCTTTAGTGACACTGCTGTGTGAAGTTCCAGGAACTGAGGTGAATTAATTGGCAGCTTCGTAGAGGTTTGTCATTTTTCCCCCCTTAATGTCACTTCTGTTGCCTCCAGAGTGAATTTCTGCAGACAGCAGTTTCTTCACTTTAAGGAGTACTTATATTCTTCCATAAATAAGTTAATTTTACATTATAGTAATGGGCTTAATGTACCCTTGGCTTGCTTGCAGACTAGCAAATCTGAACCGAATGGTTTTTCTCTATTAGTTTTAAGACTCTATCAGTATCAGTATTTCCATGGGGAACTGCTAGCAAAATGCTCGCGAACACATTCAGATCAGGAAGCCTAGCTGCATTTGTAATAGGACGGTTAAGGCAATGATGCTTTGTCATCTACACTCAGTGTCATTGTCCCGGCCATCCTTTTTCTCTCTCATTTGCTATCCAAATTAAAACACCCCAGTAATTTTGTGTGTTTAGACTCCTAACCTGTAACTTCTCCAATTCCCTGATTTATGTACTGGAACAAAGGGAGCTGTGGAAGTATTGCAATACTCTTCCAATTGAAATCACTTTCAGACCCTCTTTTCTAGACAATATGTCTTTAATAGGTGTAATAGGCATGCCCATTCCACAGACTGTTTTGATTTGACCCATCAGCAATATTGTCTGTCTTGGAACGGAGGTGCAGATGTTTAATTGGGATCATAGTACCAATGTTGTTCATTATAAATGACTGGATGGAGAACCAACTGGCAACAAGATTGTTGTATGCTGGGGGAGAGTGGGAATTGGGCACTTTTTCTGTCTGCAACTGACATTTCTCTTCTCTGCTCACCAGTGGGGATGCTGTGTGCGTGTACAGGTGCTCTTTGTGGAATTTGCTCTTAATCATCAAGGACTAATAGTGTTGCCTATGTTATCACTATGAACAGTGCGAATTGCAGTCTGATGTGGGAAAACTGCTATTCTTCCCTGGCAGAGGGGAATGCTTCAAAGGACAAAGTGCAGAAGGTGTCAGATTAGAATACTTATCCCCGAGAATAGCTCTTGCCACCAATTGCTAATGGAGGCTTTCTCTCTGCATGGAGAAGCATTCATTTTGGAATACTTACCTGGGAGGAAAGCATGGGAAAAACACCTAGCAAATCTCCTTTGAAGTTTCACCACAAAATAACCCCCAATACTTGTGTTTATAAGGCCTTCAAAGCATGCAATAAATAAATTGGGGTTGAGGGCTAGGACTGTTCTGTTTTTTACTCCTCAGTGTTGCAGACCCTGCCCACTGTTTCTGATACTGTCTTTCTTGTCTAGCCTTGTCTTGGGTTTGCTAAAAACACAGCAGGAAAGTTGTGTGTGGTGGTGAGAGTCAGGATGGCAGTGTTGCCAGTGTCTCTTCTTCCACCCCAGTACTTATTTTCTTTCAGTAAAATGTGTGTTCTTCTGTGGCTTGACCCTACTCGCCATAAAGAC